CGATCGTTCTCTACGCTATTCAACGCTAACCAACGAAACAGGATTGAAGCGAAAAGTTTGTCATCGAGCGACATTCTCGTCCTCATCGAGACTCCTAATGGTTTTACCGGTAAGGATATCCGCCGCTAAGTCATCGTTGGTTAAATTCCAAGAGCCGGCTAATCTGCTGCCTCGAGATGAGAAGCGCTAGGATAACAAGGCTGAGGAGATAGAATAAGAGAGAGAGAGAGAGAGAGAGAGAGAGAGAGAAAGAGAGAGCACCGTAGAAAGCAATTTCTGTGGGTTAAACGAATAGACTTCTCGTCGCATCAGCTTCTCTTTATATACTTGGAGCTTCGAGATCGAGGACCTTCGATTACCTCCACTTCGATCACTCTCTTCGATTATATCCGAATAGAGTTACGTGCATACACACGTACATAGGCAATGTACAGCTACGTAAGCTCCATATATTATACCTACAATTCCAAGCACTTTACATTCTAAAAGTATTGCCGCACTTTGCGCGGACTTATGGCCAATATACTCGTATGTTACAAAGTATATCTAGAGCGAGAAAGAGAGAGAGAGAGAGAGAGAGAGAGAGAGAGAGAGAGAGAGAGACATACAACTACACTCTCCGTTCCACTTCCAACGATCTCCTTCGTATCACCGAGGATCGCGGTTTCGAGCTTCTTCGTAGGATACTCGATAGGAAAGTTTCAGAAGCGGTGCGCCGTGATGTACTTCGACGCTCACTCGAATGAACTCGACAAACTTTTCCGAGTTATCCGTTCATTCCTCTCCCTTTTTCCCCGTATGTCACACATTTAACCTTTCTTCTCGCTCACTCGTCCCGCAATGCATTTCACGAACGAAAGGACATATGTAACTACTCGGCCCAAGGATTATACTCTCTCAAAAGAGAGGTGAGCCAAAGGTGTCAAATACGGTAAAAGTAGGAGAAAACGTTGATAAAGTTTTTAAGTAAATACACCGAATGTACTCGTTCGCCTCTCCGGTAAACGCAAAATCGTTGATTCCGCCGAGGAACTGTAACCGACGAACGATTTAAAGCACTTGGCTTTTCAATTGCTCTGACCTTTCTTTAAGCGAGCATTATCTTTTCATTAATTTCTCTAAACCGCATAAGCTATTATCCATCCAGGACGCATCCATTGTGCCGTTTATAAACTGTCCAATTGGAACGAAAGCCAACGTAGCGGCCCGCTTTGTCGAACCTCCTCGCGTTAACATACGTTGACGTAGCCGTTTCATTATGTCAACGCGTGTCCATCATATCGTTCCACTTTCAACTTTCGTCTACCAATTTCTAGGGTAATCCAATTAGATCGCGAACGATGACAATTGTGCGTAAATCGAGAAAGGTTTTGCGCGCCCTAATAATGCATAACACGATAAGGACGTTATCACGATCATTCGTTTCGTAGATTGCGTCGGCGACGACTCGGCGCGAGAGACATCGTTCGTTTAACGCGATCGAAGTAATATAAGTTCTTCCTCTTTGTAGTAACGACCCTATAAATTCGCGCTTGTTACAACCATCCTAAATAATTCTACGTACCTATTCGTGACAATAACGTTTCTCTTTCCGAATTAATTCGATCGATCAAATATATCTTTCATCCTCGATTCGTGAAAAAGATATCCTATATCGACATAGTCGATAGTATAGGGACAGGAATAACAACTCTTTTTTACCGGCATCGTAGTGTCATTTTCCAAAGCGGCCGATCTAATGAGAACAATGCCAAAACCCCAAAGGAAGAGATCTATGGTGTTTGCGCATAAATCAGCTGTCTTATCTCGCATAGTCCTTTCTATGGAGCAAGACTTCCGTCACTTCTTAACTCGGACAGGAAGGATGTATCGTCGTGGCTAGACGATTTTTCCTACTTGTCACGAACTATCGTTCCTACTTCTTTAGCTTGGATCCTTTAAATCGCGCTCTGCTTAAAATCTTCTTCCTTTCTTTCATTCTTTTCGATCAAGACGAGTGAATAGCCACTATGGCTATCTGGATTGTAGGAACACTTTAAAAGGCTGTCGTATCAAGCGGGACATATTATTTCTCTCCTTGGCGTCCAGCCTGTTTACTTCCGCGTTTTCGGTGGCTTCTTCCGCTGAGATATTAAAACTACCTTCTCGTATCGCTTCCTTCTTTCCTCTTTTAAAGAGAACGCGTTTAAAGAGATACGATGCTCGTACATTCGAACCGTCTTTATACGATATACTCAATGCAACGATTTGTATTAAAAATTTATTATGCCGAGTAACGTCAATGTACGATATCCTTTTACGAAATAACGTTTTTCATCTTTTACGATGTTCTCGAATACTACGACCGTTTTCGACCGTTATACTCGGAATGCATATCGGTTGGGAGAACCTTTTGCTTTCCGAGAGAGCGATGTGAGAGAGAGAGAGAGAGATCCTAAAAATGGAAGGGAAATGACCGTCCACAATCCCTCGCATTACTTTATTGTCAATTATCGGTATATAGTCTACGAACGACCCCACCTAAGGCCAAGGAATGAGGCAGGCAGAGCTCGTACACGGTCCCATCCGTTTTTATGCGAGATCAGTAGTTTCGAGTAAGCGAATCTACGTTAGAAATCAACTTGAAAAACATCGAAACGGCAAATTAACGGCCATGTCGGTATGTTGTATGTTCTCCCAGGTAGAGGATCAAAAGCGACGAAAAACTTTATTCTCTTATGCGAGTTTCTATTTTCATGTAGTTTGGAAGCTTCTCTATGGTAAACAGATCGGACGTTATTTAAAGGAATATCTAGTTAAAGGAGTTCTCTCGAGGCAGATGTAATTAATTTCTTACTGTAAGAAATTTCACGTTCTAAAAGTTACAAAAGCAAGCAGAAAGAAAATAGCTTTGCGTTGAAGAAAATAACTTCTCTTTTCTCCTTCGCCTTCTCATTCGCGAATAATACTATCGAGATATCTTGTACGTAACTTTTTAACGTTGTGATTTCGTCGTTCGAGCTTTCAGAAATATCCTCGACTTACATATCGATTTTGTTATTTCCAAGTCTATTACAAGAAACGGATAATTATCCGGGAACGTCGCGAACTATAACGTGTAAATCGATATTTTCACGCGTCACCTAACTACTTTATATACATATCCTTTCTGTTTCGACCGTTAAGAATTTGCATCGCGCGACTACGAATAATGATAGAATATTATCAACATTGTTTCTTCTTGCCTCGTGGCCAAATTGAAAGGGCCCCATTGAAAGCGATTTCGAGTTAGTCGAGCATACGTACTATAGAACCTGTCCCCTGGATTCCACTTAACCTTAAAACTAGTTTCTCTAGCAGTTGGCGAACTCTCGTTTACAGGCTCGAGATTGATAGTAGTTGTTTTTGTCGAGACTCCGATTGCGAGAGGGAAAATTAAAGGAACGCGAAGAAAGAGGGTATTTTTTTTTTTTTTTTCGTCGAGAAAGAAACGATTAGTATAATCGTAGGAATCTCGCGATCGGACGCATTCCGTATAATAATCCGTGTTTCTACGATGGGAATAGACGAGAATCATTTGCCAAACTAACTCGTAGTAATTCAGGAGCCACGTCAAACACTTATCCAGGATTTGCCTATGGTTAAGTTTTCTCGTCTTCCCGGTTAGACGTTTCGACGTGTTTCCTCCTTAATATCGTAGACGATAAATCAACCATCTTATTGGTAGGAAGAAGAAAACGTTATATACGCATCCAGGAGGATTTATTATCCAAAAATATTGCCAAAGTCGGTGGAAAGATCACGCGTTTAATCTTTGCTCCTCTTCCGAGAGAGAAGAGAATTTAAGCTCGCGACAATATCGATCATCTTCCTTATCTTGGCGCGCTCGTCGACTCGTCCCTTTGGGGCAAGAAATCGCCTAAAAGTTTTGCCCCCCCTCTCTCTCTCTCTCTCTCTCTCTCTCTCTTTCTCTCTGTCTATCTCAATTCTCTTCCCCCAAGCTTCCAGGGCCGCTGAATTCTCTCAAATACAAGCACACGCACGCACATAGATATTTGTTCGGTGTGCACACGTTATGGAAATTACGAGAGGTGAAATTTTAGTAGTGGAAATTTCGTTTCGTACTAATATCCGCGGGGCCAAGAAATTACAAACAAGATCTCAACCGTTTGCACACGAAATTAATCTCTCTTTCTCTCTTTCTCTTCCGCGCAACAGTTGCGTTGCGTTGTCGCGTTATACATAATACTGTGCTGGCAACGTTCCTTCCAATATCCCAATTTCTCTTCGTCTCGATCGATATCGGCTTGAATATACTCATATCCGGGCTGCTTTTCCGACATTGTTTGTGCTCTAAGCGGATTTCCGATCGAGCGAACGATCGCGTTCAAGATTAAGTATACGATATGGTTCGAGTTGCCCCGTTCGTCACGGATCTATATATAGACAAATATATACATATAGACGTCGAGCTATAAAGGTATAATCGATACATAATTCTAAATAGAAAGCTCGAATAATCTTGGAAGGATAAGGGTGTTCGTATTACCGACCGCCTCGTCTCATTATTCTCATCGAAGAACGTTTCGAAGAATCAGCGCGGACTTCCAAGAGAATGCGCTAGAGAGAGAGAGAGAGAGAGAGAGAGAGAGAGAGAGAGAGAGAGAGAGGTCGTAGTTACTCCTTCTATATCGGGTCTTTTCTTTTCTAACCTACCGATGAGTAATGGAAGAGAGACGATCGAACGAATACGGTCCGCGTCGATCGCAACAAGACGTTCGTACGAGCGTAACGTCGTAGACACGCGCGATCACCAAATTTTCTCCTCGATTTAACAAGTATATTTGCGATGAAACTATTTCTTAATTTGATCTCGATAATTTTTCTTTTTAATAGACCGCACGTGTTTACGCGAAGATACACCAAGGAACATAGGAGTTGTTATTGGAAACGCATCGAGGGAGTAAAAGAAAACTTCCGAAGGATCCAACGAAAATCTTCTTCTACAAACGTATCTGCACGTTTACATTTGCTATTTCCATTTATCCATCCGTCCATCTATCATCTATTTTATCTTTCAAAGAGTCGCCTTGGCATCGCCATACAAAGACGACATTACCGAACTTTTACTTATGTATGCAGTTATTATACGTTCAGCCGTCCTATCGTTCGTGAAATCTAGTGCGCATCCTTATTTTCCCCATCGACAAGGAGAATTTATAAAAATCGTGATTTTTATAAATGCACATTATATATCCCGTATATATTATATTGTACGAATATTGTACGAGTACGCATATGAGATACATGCAGTATTCGTAGAGTCGCGTACGCGATGCGTCTGAGTTGGACGAACGAGAAAGCTCTTTACGTATGCGATGCACACGCTTCATATGCGTTCTATTTGCATAGAATGCGCATGCATTTAGAAACGCGCGCACGTGGGATATCACGGAGAATGGATCCGTAAATTCTAGTCTTGGTGTCAAATGGATGAGGGTACTTTCCTAGGGCACACGCGTTGTTATTATCGTTATATGTATATTTATAAGGAAAACTTTACTATTCGATTATTTCCCTCGACGTAAGCGTCGGATCTTTCATCGTCGTATTCTGGTCGGACGATATCGAGGTGCGGCGCGGGAGGGAAAACGAAGCGGTAGCGACGTCCCCGCACGGACATTTCCATTACAAAGACGAACGCTCTCGCCGTTATGGAATACATATGTATCGAGAGTTACTTCCACCTAAAGGTACGACCTAAAATTGGAAAATCTCCGTGTTATATTCGTCATTGGACATCGTCTCTTCGTCTATAATTCGCCCTCTCCGATAATTCTTCGATAATTCTTCGCGAAGAGATGTACGAATCCTGTCGAATATAAAATCAGTCGAATGGCTTCTTCTTCCTTCGATTTTAATCTCCTCGCTTATACACGAATAATATATTTACGTAAATGCCAACGCAACGTTTGAAAATTAATTTAATTCTCACTAATCTACTACTTCACTACGATTTTCATGCTCCGAGGTAACTAACTTTTAATCGGCTAACCGAATTATATAATTTCGTTCCGTTATTTAGAGATTTATTTAAGAGATAGCGATAGAGATGTCTCGGAGACATACGTTCGCGGTCACGGCTTAAAGATTTTCTTCCTTCCGTCCTATTGGGATTTCTTAATTAAATTTTTTAAATTGAAACTATGCGACGAGACGAAAAAAAGAGGAAAAAAATCTCGGTCCACTTATCGTAATTATACCCAACGACCTTAATGCGACGGCGACCGATTAATAGAACAGTGGAATTTTTCAAAAAGTTTTATCACGTTGGCTCGAAGTTGTTACTTCCTTCGGATCAAGACTTTTGTCTTCGTTCGCGCGTTCGCGTTCTCGAATTATCGATAATTCGAGAAACGGTGTGAAGTCAGATTCAAATCATCCCGACGATTAGCTCGTTTTCTCTTAGAATCGAGATCTGGTCTAGTAGAGAAAGTTGTGCTTTGACGTGCGCCCGTTAAGATGCGGAGCTTTAGGAAAATTATTAAGTATCGCAGTATCCTCTAGCATTAATCGATAAAAATTCGATGAAATTCCTCGGACGACGTGCTGCCTTTTATTCTCATTGATCGGTTCAAAGTCCTGTGCCCCTCGATATGACGTTGCAACGTTCGCCGTTGGAGATCGAAGCGATCCTCGTTGGAAATCCCAGCATGACGATTGATACTACAAGGATCGTTCTAAAAAACGAAGATTTTCCGAGCGTGTACGGCCTCTTTCCGGACGTAGTATTCGACATAGATTTTCTTCGATTATCTTAGCGCGATAACCCAATCGTTCGTGTACACACACACACACACACACACACACACACGCGCATATATGTATTATACCACGTTCGCTCTAATACGGTTCTTTCGCACATCTTACGTTTCATATTCGTACCTCTCTTTATTACGCTCTTCCGAGCTCGAGATGGTACGAGGTATATGACAGACGTGACAGAGAATCGTTACGCTTGATCTCTCCCGAAAGTGGATTTTCATAAGTGGAAGTTGAATTAATAGAAAAGGGCCAAGGGGAGAGGATCGGAAGGGGAGAGTGGTCGATGCGATGCGACGCGAACGAGAGGTCATAAAAGTCTGACGCAAAGTGCGGTCAGGATAATGGTAGAGAGTGTGGGAGCATACGTACACGCATAAGCTTCTCGCGTTCGGAAGTTACGATTTTCGCAACGTCCATCGATCCTCCCGTCCGATCGATTGATCGTTCACAGGACAAATGACTATGCTTTCGGTAATAGAATTCCGTTTACACGTATTGTCCCGGACAAATTTATTCTTGAATTTCTTTTGTAAAAATAGATAGAGCAGATACGTTACGGACAACAATTTCGTACTTACTGGCGTCTGTCCGAGGAAGAATACGTGCCCATATACAATTCGATCGGACTGAAAGCCGCTCTGAACGCGATCTATGAGCCACGGTATTGAAACTACTAGCCTCGTTATTAGAATTAAACGATCCTTACGTGGGTAGAAATAATACATCGTAGATATATTTCGGAAATAATTTTCTCTTCGATCAATTTTTTCCCTTTTCCTTTTCTTTTATCGTTCAACGATGCTCATAAATTGTATCTCTTATAACGTAGAATTTATATCATCGTCGACGAGTACCACGTTTGCTCGCAAATGAGTAAACGTTTTTTCCTCGACATATTGGAAAGATACAATCTCGCGAGTATTTCGGACTGGTACGAGGCCTCCTCGATCAACATCTTTTTCGATCTGAACGTTTTAAAGGTAGGTGGTAGGCCGTGCGAACATTTCTCATAGAACATTTACATAACAATTACATGACGCCACTATCTCGATTCAACTTTGATAGATAAATTTTGTCGGATTGTGTGCAGTGCGCTTTAATCGAAAAACAACCGACGGACGATCCAGCTGCCCGATTCGATCATCTCCTCTCAAAGACATTGCCGGTCTACACCAACGAGACGAAGAAGGTCGACGAACAGTTGAAAGTTTTAATGAAAGGTAACGTCGTCGTCGAGCTCGTACCAAGTCACCAGCCAGATTATCTCACTTTCAATGAAATATCTTTGACAGAAAGATATTCTGTTCTTCGAAAAGATTGCTCTTTCTCGTCTGTTAGATTCTATGAGGTTTCTTCCTATACGGATATCCAACTGGATGTATCGTTTCTTTTTTTGTTTTGTTTTTTCAATTCGACAGACCCAACAGGATCCAATAGGTCGTCTTATAAATCCGATCTAACGCCCAATTGCAAGACCGTTGATCTTGAAATAATGCTTTTCTATCGTATAATACATCCCAATATATATTTTGTATTGGATAATCATCGATCAATATTTCAATTTATTTTCCTTCCGTTTTTTCCGTGGGGAAAAATAACGCGCGTCGATCGAGCATCGCGATAAAATGCACGAATTTCGTGTCTTTCTTTTCTCATTTCCTCCTTTCGTGCTTCATCCGGTCCGGTCATTCCTTTACGCGGCGGCACTCTATTCATCGTTTCTCCTTCTTCGATTTTCTACCTTCACGTCATCCTAGCTTCTAGCCGCAGAGCAGCCGTGCACCCGGTGAAAATCTCTCTCGGTAAATTGAATGGCTTTACGAGCAGGATGGAAGTACCTAATAAGGTCTTCCTGGCTTATTGAAAGTTGGATTTCTCGAGGTGCCTCTTTCTTCTCTCCCTCCCTCCCTCTCTCTCTCTCTCTCTCTCTCTCTCTCTCTCTCTCTCTCTAGTGCGCGCTCGCGAACTTCTCTTTCTATCTTTCTTTCTGTTTATCCAGCTTATTGATAGTTCGCCACGGCGGTAGCGAAAACATAGAAGAAAATGAGCCAGCCACCGTTGGAAAATCCTTTTGAAAGGAAGCAAACCGTATTGTCAATGTTACATCATAGGATATATTTAAACTCGTAAATTGATTAGAAAAATATCAAAGATAATATAACCAAAATGTCGGAGTTATCCGTCACTTGAAAATTTGGATTTCAACGTACTAATGCAATTTTCAATGTGTGAAGTCAGGTTTCCCAGAGAAAAAGTCGAGACCGGTGATGGAACAATTTCCGAAATTGAAGATTACAAAGCCGTCAAAGATCGTCAAAGGATCCAAGAAGAAGCCAGTTGCAAATTAATATAGTACACTTTCCCATAACTCAAAAACCCTTGCTCGATATAAAAATAAGATAAATTCGAGTCGTCAAATCACAAGGTGCATTCGTATTTTCTCGCGGCAAGTCTTCTTTCATACGGGAGAGAAAAATACACGAGAATTTTTACGACAACTAGGACGTAAGGAAGAAGATTACGCTCTCTTTGTTTTCACATTTTTGTTTCCTCCAAGGTTTATTTAGCGTGCAGCGTACTCGAAAGTCTAAGCGGATCTCCGTAGAGAGAATTCGTTTGGAAGGTCCGTCTGGCCTCTTTTTAAGTAATGAAGTAACGCGCGAGTACGTCGAAACTTATACTTGTCGAGCTCTAATGATCGTTAAGAAAATATCTTATGGAAAATACGTATTAACAAGCGCCTTAGCTACCTTCGCGATAGATGACGATAGATGTCTGAACTCTATAGAAATAGGAACAAGTTTCAAACGTTTACGTTCGGATTACGCTTGCGTTTGGATTTCGTCGTAGCTCGCTCTTTATGTCCTTCGTGCGTCGATCATAAAACAACGATTAGCAATCAATTTTGGCTTCAATCGCGTGTCCGATCTAGAGTTTCGCCCATAACACGGAATACCTTTAAAATTGTCCACGTTTTCGATACAAAACTCTTCTTACGAGAAAAATATTCGCGTTGCTTCGACGCGGACGATCTTTAAAAGGATTCCTTCGATTCAAAGCCCCTTACTCCCTCGCGCGCGCATCTCACAAAAAGGGCTAGTCCCGATAAAATATTTTTAAAAATCTTCCTTTTTTTTATGGGCGAACGAATAAAACAGCGTCGAAATAAAAAGAAGCTCTCTATCAATCGAGGCCATTCATCGAAGGCCCAATTACATTTCTTCCTTTTTGTGATGCGTATGCATCTATAGTATGCCTTCATTGGAAACTCGTCGTCCAATCGCAACGACGTATCCTCGTCCTCTATGCGCATATATTCTACCATCTACGAGGGACAATTCTGTCGTAATCGAATCCAATCTCAAAATGGTCCGAAGCAATTTTCGAAAACAACTGCATTCCTCGAACAGTAGACAGAATAAATGATGCACGCGCGAACACGGAATACGAGAAAAGCAACCCTCTTTTTCTCTCCCTTCCTATCTCACTTTATCCGTTTCTCGCGTTACGGCGCTATCCACCAAAGTCTTGTTGTTTTTTCCGGAACAAGTTCGGTGTGTTTTCATTGCCAATTCTGGAATTGGAACGCTCTCGACGGTCGACCGGTTGGTTATACGGTATTTCTCGTGGAAATTGCTAAATTCTCTCGCCTCTGTCCTTTATCCCGAAATTTTCCTTTTCCGCTTTCTGTACGCATACGTATTTCTCGAGAGACGAGAGAGAGAGAGAGAGAGAGAGCGCGAATCGTAAAAATCGAGCAAGTGAAGTTTGTTTGAACTACGATTAGGTCGTAAAAGTCTGGCCGTACGGTGTAAATGCGGTAAAATATTTGAACTTGTCGCTTTTTCTTCTTTTTCTCTTTCATAAAAGTCACGAGAAATTAAACGATCCTCTCTATTCTTTTTTTTATCACCCGTTTTTAGGAAGCAAATTAAACAAATCGGCGAATTGGAAATTTTCGGTCGAATTAAAATTATTTATCGGACGATAAAAACAATTCTTTGTAATCGCGTCCATTAAGAGTCGCGAGCGACGATCAAGGATGATCGAAGAATATTACGATCTTGTATGCGATACCGAACGTCTTAATAAGAATAAAATACTCTCAAAGAACATCCGCGTTTAACGACGTTGCCGTTCCGCGATCGAGCACAATTGCAACGAGTTTGCACGAGTTCGAAACTTTTCCCGAAAGGATCGTCCGTTCGTGACGTGGCACGTCATGTGAGGCATTCCATACTTACCGACATCGGTGAATTGGCCGAACCGCGTTATGCCACCTCGAGGCCACCGAATCAATAGAGCCGCCTGCCCGGTAGTTAACAATTTCGAATACCACGAGAGACAGGGAGGAACGATGCTCTCCCGATCGACCAGCTCGCTGGCTCGTACGCTAACTCGCTCGTTCGCGCCCGTTCCTTTCGCTCCATTGCAATTGGTACCAACACTATGGCTGTCGTTACTACTACTACTGTAATACTACTGGCACGAATGGTCGCGTAAACTCTGCCCGCGTATAATAAAACTGTCGCACATCGAATCGTTTCGCTAGGCCATCCCATCCGAAGATGAACGGACGTGCGCGCGTGTGCGCGTATCTACGTTCGAACGAACCAGTTCTCGTTACGCTTTTACTTCTCCGCGATCCATAACCGTCCATCGGAGTCTGTTTCGCTCGTACTCTGGATTATTTTATTGCCGAAATACGAGGAAATTGCGACGTATACGTTTTTCCGACGGTGGTAGGTCTTTCCCGCTGATAGGCACTCCCGCGGTAATAAATCTGATGGCGTACGTTTAAATTTTCCCCGTGGATCTCGAGGGGTAAAAGGTGAGGGCCTTCTCGTAGAGTCCTCTTGGAGAAGAAAAAACGACTGGACGAGTGCTATTAAATGGCAAATTTTCAATAAACATGTAACGCCGTTGGAAGCCGTTTGATCGGCTATTCGTAAACCGACGTACCTTCTCGTCGACGAACGCGTCTTTATCGTCGAGCGAGCTTTACGTACGAACGAATTGGAATTTGGGACTCAAGATAATGGTAATTTCGAGGAAAATTTTTTACTTCTTTCTTTTTCTTTTATTTTTTTCTCCGTGCACGACGCAATCCCTATTAATCTCGTATCACCGCGAAATCGATCAAGGCTGACCGCTGCCACTTAACGAGGCGAACCACCGTACGTACCACGACGAGGAAGCGTCGAAGCGCGATCGGCAAGCGGCCAGGCTTTCTCGGTTAGACCGAAACCCATGCCGCTTTCGGCATCGATCCTCGAAATCGACTTTCTTCTATTCGGCCATTCCCTGTCTATTCCTTATCTATCGAGTAGATGGGAGGACGAACGATCCTTCGAACGTTCGAAAAATCATCGCTTTAATATCGCTCGTAATAAGAGCTACGTCAATTGCTACGTATATCGTCGCGTTAATCCACACCCGGGATCGTTTTTAAATCGTTAAGAAATATTCAATTATTATAGATTATTCGAGGACGATAACCGGCAAAAAGCTAACGGTAAGTGATAGCGGGGGAGAAATGGCATCGTTTAGATTTAATTTCCAACGCGAACCGATTAAATCTCCCGCGCGGATTTCCCTTCCTTCCCGTTCTTACGTAACACCCTTGACTTGTATTCGGCCGCTGTGTCGAATGTTCGGATGAAAAATTATAAAGAGAGGGAATCGTGGATTTTTACGCGAGTATAAAGACGCTCGACACCACCTCGTATACCACTGTCATCGTCATTTATCGTCGATCGACGATTATTCTTAAAAAGTATTCTTCAAAGCAGATCTTCGATTCGGAAGTCTTTCGATCTTTTTTTAGATCTCGTCTCGAGAAATATATTTCCCTTTTTTTCCTTTACGGAGAACTAATAGAAAATGGGGATATGAGCCCATTACTCGTTTTGCCATCGAGTTTCCACCGATAAAATTTCCGAAAGGGGCGCTTCCTTCTGCTGCATTTCCAAATACTTTGCCCTGTCAATTTTTATATGCGCCAATCTCTTCTTCCGTCATGGATAACAGATACTCGCGTTCTAGAATCGACGATAACGTCGATCGACGGTGACCGATGACAAGTAATCATTTTCTACGCATACTCGAAAGATATCCGAATAAAATCGAAGAAAAGAGATGGTAAAGAAAAAAGAAGATAACAAAGAAATGACGATGCTCGTAAGAACGCCCTTACGAAATATCGGCGCAACGTCTTCTCGGTCTCGAGCGAATAAATGTGCTCGCATTAGGGGTCGCGGACAATGGTTAGACCGAACGGCACTATCCCGAGGGACTACTGTGCTTTACGATGACGCATCGTCCGTGAAACTCCGTCGTTCCTTCGGAGTCGCCGCACCGGTCCTGGGACTTCTTAACCCGAGACTCTCCGTGCTCTTCGTCAAACCCTCATTGAAATTTAAATTTTCCTACTTTTAAAGAAGATTTTCTCGGAGAAAGGACAGCGGTGTTCTGATTCTCAATGGCTCGCGAGACAATTTCGAAAAGCGCATCGCTTTTTCCTACTCGTTTTTCTATCGACCTTAAAATACCACCGAGTGCCGATGTCATTAAAATTATTTTCATCGTCGCAATCGTAAATCTTTTCGCGATATTACTCGCTCGATGGATTTCGCACCGGTTTTATCCGACGGCGGCAAAGAAGTAAATGGAAGGCGATTCGCTTCGTATATATATATATATATATATACGATATATATATAATTCGTGCGTAAATAACAGATTCACGTACAAGTCGTTAGTTCTCGCCTAAGAGCAGGTCGAAAATGGAATATGAATGGCGACTACGTTCTCGTTTTCTCCCAGAGGAAAGGACGAGAAGGAGAAGGGGTTATAGCCGGCGTGCGGCCGAATTGCGGGACGAATTTAACGTCGGCAGACTGTACATAGAGATGGTAGATACTACGTGGGTACGTAGATACACACAGCCAGTGAGGAAGCTGGCTACGACAGCTGCCGGAGGCTTGTGCGGGGTCGCCCTCGATTTGGTTCGCGCGACGAGCAATTTGACGGAGTGCGCTGTAAAGGGAGGCGTCTGAACTTTGAGGGAAAGCTTTCGACGGAGTAATTTTGATAATAGTTCCCTTCGCGTCGGCCTAGAAGCTTTGCCACGAACGTGCGTATATCACTCTTTCTCGCGCGCGCACACACACGCACGTTGCGCGATACGTATTTCTCTTCGTCCTACTCGATCGAGCTCGTTAAGAAACCCAGCTCTAGATCATTATCCGTTATCTTCTTTCTCGTACTAATCTATCGCGATTAATGCCACCGATGCGTGTTCCCTCTGCCGTCCCGAAGATGCCATTATGCCGGGACGTTATTCGCTTACGTCGGCTAATTCGATTGCATCGTCAACAACAAGGTCAGCCGTTTTACAACGTTTTACTCGCATCGTCGTTAGAACGACGATAGGAAGAGTCAGTCAATTCCGAGCGGAGTACCACCTTATCTATCGTAGGACGAGATAGTGTCTACTACTATACTTTCGATTAGACAGAGTCAAGTATGGGCAACACCCTAGACAATCTAATTACTGGTTACACACTCGTCAGAATTCGGAGTGCCTTCTTCTCTATCGCGGGATAAAGTTTACCGACTCAAATTGAACCGTTTTCGAGGGTACGTCCCTAATCTAATTATTTGGACGTTCTTTGATCGTAACTCGTACGTATCTACGTCGATCTTTTCTTTGACATTATCAAAATCGATTATCTAACGTTCTCGAGCGTTTTGCGCAGGGGAAACGAACGATATGTAAAAAAAAAAAAAAAAGAAAAATAGATTCGACTAGGGATCGTAAAGAGTAAAACACGAAGAGTAAAATTTAGACTCTCTCTTTTCTGATTCAAGGCCTACCGGAACTAATTCGGTTCGATCGAGCAAACCCGGATTCCTCGGGTAAATCCGCCTAAACGCGATTCTCCGATTGATACCAAATAAAATCATTGGAACGCGATTACGAGAAGGATGTACGTTACCCGAGATGTAAATCGAATTCAACGTAAGTGCTTTGAAAAAGCGTTACGATCACCATCGTCTATAGATACTTTAATCATGATTGCCCGTCGCAAAAAAAGTTTTGCTTTAATATTAATTGTGATGGAAAGTCATCCCTATGAATATTCGCTTGGATATTTGCTTATCAATAAGGTGATAATTGAACGATAATTAATGCCACATCTCGCTATTCTACGTGTTGAAGTACGATGACGACGGGGCAGGGGGGGGGGGGGGAGAGAAATTAAATCTGGAACGGCTATAAGAGTCTGAGGGAGCATAAAAGGGAAGATCGATCATACGTGACCGTACACACATGCTCGTACGTATGGAGAAGGAACGCCGATACGTAAATACGTTCGTGCACACTCTACGCTCGTTGCCATCTCTATCATATTATATACTCTTACATAGAGAAAAACAAACAAAGTCACGATGTATATACGAATATTTTACATGGAACGTATATAAACGTTCGGAAGCGATAAGACGAGAAACCTATGACTTACGCAATACAGTCAACGTTATTTATTTATAATCGTACATAGAGATGAGCGAGGTTACATGCGCAAACATAAATCATAAGGAAGCAGGTTGGGAGGTATATAAAGACGAAGGGTTGACCCCCTTGTGTCTGCTGGGTGTGCGTTATTGTTATACCCGTTTCTATACGAGAATAACGCTAAGGTAGGAAATAGGGAAGATTTCATCTCGGTCCAGCGATGGCCGAAAGGATGAGATCATCGTTCAGGTAGGGGATAAGGGTTCGAGGGGCTGGTTAAGATTTATGCGCTCGAACCGATACAACCGCTACAAATCAGTTATCCTCTGTCTCGTAACTCGAAACATTCGTACTTGCTACTGCTACTCCTGTCGAACGATTTCCGATCCCTTTGTTCGTTGCCGTAAAGTCGGATAATCTCGTAGAGTCTTACGTTTGGAATGAAAAATCAACGATTTTACAAACAAATTTCCTCGATAGATAAATCGTTACGTAGCATTAGCGTGCATCAAACGTCGGTTCGTTAATTATCGTATTTATCGACTCTATTATTTCGAGAGAGGAATTTCGGTACGCGCGATATAGATTAAAATGACATAATAACGTTTAACGATTATCAGGTGAACAATGAAAATTGATTCCGCGTCATCAAAGCGATGGGAAAGACCGGATATTAGCGATGGCGCGTCGCTGAGATAAACGTGCAACGGATGCGACGTGGATATACAAAAATTACGCTTGCAATTACAATTTCGTTATACTTTTCCCTCCTTCCGATAATTAAACATTCAATTATATATACGTACTGCTCCAAATGGAGGAAGGGGGGAGGGGCGGGAGAGAGTGAGAAAGAAAAAACATATAATCCTGCTTTCACCCAAATTACGATTCTTTCCTTGTCTATTTCTTTTTTTTTCTTTAATCACGCTTCCTTTGTCTTTTTCAACTCGGTGCTTCGATACGAATCCTCGCGTTACTTTTTCTTTCCCACTTTCTTGTAAGCCAACGTCGACGTCTTCGCAAAGCACGCTTTATATCCTACGATATACTCTTTTACGTTTCAATCTAGAAATCTGGAAAGTCGGGAAAAGCGACTTTAATCAAAAAAGCTTATATAAGTGCTCCCTACACATATATGTGTATGCGTTGCGGTACCTAGAGATAAAATTGAACGGATCATAATGAAGGCGCGAAAGAATATTTAATCTACGATTAATATTCTTTTTTTATCCTATGAAATATATAGTGATTATTTGACAAGTGCCAATGAAATTGAAAACGTTACACGTGCATTCGCTGGCATTCATTTCGAGCATATCCGTAATTGGCTCGATTGTCTTACGTTAAATAGTTGAAAAAACGAATTCGATTTAGACGATAAACCAACGATACGTAACTTCCATTTCCAGCGTTGTTCGTTATTTAGGCGTGAGTTTCCCTTAAAAGAGTAGTTACGGCGTAGATCGCGATCCAAAGGAGAAAGAGAAACGATGCCGACGTCAGCGAGTCCGTTCGAGTTTCTCTCTCTCTCTCTCTCTCTCTCTCTCTCTCTCTCTCTCTCTCTCGACCCTGTAAACGAATTTGCAGGGACGACAGAGTCGATGGTGATGGAGCATCAACGATTCGAAACGGTTCGTAACGAGCACGTCGAGCCAACCTCGGCATTCGGTATTGATCCTCTTTCGATGAAACAACGTAATTGCCTCGCTAATCGTGGTTAACGCAAGATTGAACGACAGACGGTGAAAGAGAATGAAAGAGGATCAAACCCAAAAAGGTGCACGACCTACAAGCATTGCCTAGTCAACGAAAATCGCGACACACGGTTTGTCGATCAAAAAATCCTCTTGTGGACTTTTTCGATGTTTCTCGCGCTTCACAAAGGAAATATTTCTTCGTTATAAGACTCTCGCCTTCGAGGAACCAGTTTCGCTTAATTTATTTTTGAGAGAGACAATTGAACGGTGAAAATAGTTGGATATCTCGAACGCGATATAATACAATGTCGCCTTATCTCGTGTAAGTATATCAAATATATTTATTCCCTTTGTGTGTTTACTCGCGAGTAAGAGAGTAGAGGGAGAGATGCGAATGGGATCTGACCGTGCGACAACACACGGTTGAGTGCCAACGCGAAAGAGACCGTAGATTCGGTCGTAAAGACAATCTCGACGCAAGGGCTAAGTTTACGGTTAAAAGATATAAGCCCAAATGTGTGATCAGGCTGGATGGCTCCATTGTTTCCCAACGTATTCCTTTGTAGCTCGAACGAACCCGGTAATCCCTTTAATCAAATTTCATTCGCGCTCATATCGCCTTCGGTTTCGTCCTTTCACTTCGTAAATTCTACTTGCTCGGCTTAACTTTTTCCGCTTAGAATCGGATCGGACGTTCGGCTCGACAGAATTAAGATCGCAAATACAATCTTCACGGGACTACTACCGTGTCGTAGAAGAATGATCAACGAGGGAGAATAAAGGAAGAAAGATAAAGAAGCAGGCATATTGAGGATCGACTTAAATAAAAATTAAAGGAATATAAATAATGGTTTAAAATAAAAAACGAAAGAGATGGAAATTTTTCTAATTCGAAAAAAGGAGACAACGAAAGCTAACGATCACAGGACGAGTCACAGGAAGGAACGTCAGGGGGAGTTATCGTCGAAGCAAACGATCAATTATCTGTAGAGAAGGAGGAAAGAAAAAAGAAGATATATCAAGACGATGCTTTTAATACGAAAGATTTCATTGTACCGTATACGATACTTGTGCTCGAAGGCGTTTGCTTTTCTAATTCGAGGACGAACTGCCAGAGGCATTCGCCTGGGAAACGTTCAAACGAGAGCTTCATTGTGTTCGGCACAATACGATGCCTCTCGCATCCTATTATCGCGTACCTTCTACCATCCTGGAACCGACGTGTTTATCGGCTCTTCTATTTTCCGCTTTTCGCCTATATTCTTTGGAATAAAAAGCCAGGTAATTTGGCTTTCTCGAGAATTCCTTGTTCGAACGAAATAACTTTATAAGTAAGTAAACGAACGATGCGTAGGTAAGTAAGTACGTACACATGTATTTACGACCTGCATTTCGCCGTACGTTTACAAGTAAATATTCTTCGAGTAAAAGCGAACGATAGTGTGAAGTTCATTCCGTCTATAGGTCGGTTTTTTTGCTATCGAGTCAAGCTTTGCGAAGGTAGGTAATACTTGGACAAAGCGTGCTCGTACTTTTCGTTAAAAGCCAGCACTGGTCTTATTTCTTTCTCGCTCATCCGAAAGCAGAGAGAGAGAGAGAGAGAGAGAGAGAGAGAGATAGCACTCTGCCTGGCGCTCGGCTGATCTCGTAATCCGTCGATACATCAGAGTTACCATTACCGCGAATGGCGTCTATCGGTCTAAATCCGTACCTTACGTCGGTGTGTCACGTAGCCAGATGTGTGCGTGCGCTTACAAATCCTCGTATAGGCTCCTAAATGTAGGACGGAAGGAAGGAGCACGTGTGCAAGCAAGAAAGTCTTAAGCTTCTTACGAGGGCGCGCCAAGGCGATTGCTGGCTGGAAATCTGCTTGGATTTGAAATTATTCGATGAACTTCCTCGGAAGGATCTTCGTCGATTATTATTTTCAAAGGGCTTCGAATAACAATGGCACGTTAACATCGTATACCGAGGATTTTACGTAAAAATGGACAATGCGAATGGACATATTGAAAATTTAGAAAGATAAAAGGTAAGAATCGTTTAACGGAGCCTCTCGTCGCAAGAGTCCGACGCACCCGAATCAGTTAAAAACGTAGTCATCGTCGGCTTTATCGTCCGGATTCGACGTCATTCGGCGAGAGAAAAATCGGTATCTTGGCTATCGAGGAAGAAATAAAATACCAGTCGATAATGCTTAGCTCGGAGCAAGGAGAAGAAGGATGAGCGATATCGTGCCCAAGGTAGAAGGTTCCTTTGTCGGAGGGCTCGTCGACCCCTCGACGATAGGTTCGAGAAAAATTAGGAGCCCTTCGGACGGATCGATTTTCGCAGCGAGATCGAAAGAAAAGAAATAAGAAGGAAGAATGTCATATTATTAGCCCGTTGTCGTATTATTAGTTCGTTGTTAATTCAAATGATTTTATAAAGATCTTATAATAGGGCAATATATTCGAGCAAAACCATTTGGCTTCAAATTAATATATTTTGCGCCGTTTCAACGATCACTTTTATTTTATTATTATTTTGCGTCTAACGAGAAAAAAGAAAATGTACGATAATAACGTAGATATGGTTAAAATTATCGAATCGTAAAAAGCATAATCGGTCGATAATTAATAATACCCAATCGAGCGTGCATACAGAAGGAACATTTCGTTTTTCCACGAAATGGAAATTTCCCTCTTAGCACGGATTATGTTGGACGCAATAACTGGCAGCGTATAAATCTATTTAAGTATTTAGAAAGGAACACGCAATCATAGTCTATACGTGCGGTCACGCCAAACAGTAAATTTCGTCTAGCTCGCGGTTCCGACTTGTTATATAAATAATATGAGCCATTACGAAGAGAATGAAGCAACGTTAATTGGGTCGCTCGTGTACGTTATGGTTACGTTCGAACGGGCAACGACGTTCAGTTCTGAAAAGTTAAAACGTTGTTACATTACGTACGAGCGCAAAAAAATATAATCCTTTCTGCGAATAACTTTCTTAAAAAGGATTATTCGCCAAATCTGCGGAAAGCTATTGAAACGAAGGGAAGGGAGGACGAATGTATACTTCGAATTCCGTCTCGCTCCGAATCTCGAGCGTGGCTCGAGAAAGAAGATTGCCTGGTATTGTTGTGCGAGCCAAAAGCCGATCCTTTTATAAAATTAATTAAAGCCACATCCTAAGGCTGCCGAAGATGACAACATAGTCTAGTAATGACAAAGGATATTTCTTTATTAAGTGTCGCTATGAGACACTTAATAAATTTCACGTACGCGTTATGTCGCGTCGCCCAAAATTCTTTTCGAAACTCTATTCCAATCATCGGTGTTTCATTCAAGGAGATACCTCTTTTAAACTTGTCGTCTTGTTAAATCGATCATCGTTCGCATTAATATGTATCTGGTTAATAAATTCTAGATAAGTCTCATCTCGACGGCGATCTTTATTCGATTCGACGCAAGCCGGTGTCCCATTTCTCGATATTATACTTTAATCGTCCTGGGGGATCGGGTCTTTATTACGGACTGTCGAGAAGTTCGGGTGTCATGATTAATTACGGACTGCAAGATGCACGAGCCGGTGGCAAAGAGCTTCGATGACACCTTTCCTTTGTCAAATTATCTCCAAGAGGGCTCTCCGAGGCCTCTCCTTAGAGGGTTACGGGGCGCCTATCAAGCTCTTCGTTAGCCCTATTTTCGCCTTTGGAGATGCTCCGAGAAATCTTTCCAAGTCCCGATTATTCCGCGATCACGAAACGAGGAATAACCGTATCTTTTCTAATTTAATTAATCGCAACGCGTCGCATAGGAATTTCTCATTTTCAACGTCAATTTAATCGTCGGCCATCGATACTCGGAACGACGGTGGTCTATCTATAGATGCGAACAACGAACTTACGTTTTACGATTAGTATATAGTCGTTTTCGCGCTATCTTTCACAAGGGCCAATCCTACTTTCATCCTCGTACATTCGCTCGCTCATACATTCCCACGTTCCTAGGATTCAATTTACATCGTCTCTTGAGTTTCAAGCGTTGATGCAACTTTTCTAGAAGGCCTTGAAGACGAATTGCCGTTTGTGTACACTCTTGAAGATTTAGCGGATGTCTGAAAGGTAGGTAGGTACGTACGTAGGTAGGTAGGTAGGTAGGTAGGTAGGTAGGTAGGTAGGTAGATAGGTAAGAAGGAAGGAAGGAAGGAAGGAAGGAAGGAAGGAAGGAGGGAAAAAAACGAAGGGAGTAGGACGAAGAAAAATGTGTACATCGTAGGAGGGTGGAGTTTATATGAGATCTTTCTAGCGTGCCGTCTGCTTTATATTCTCCTCCGTACTTTGGATTATCAACTCGTCCTTTTTCCATGATACAACGTCTTTCCCGTGTACGAGTAGGGAGATATATATATACTTGGCTATGTGTGCGTTGCTCGAAACCATTCAAACTCGAATGCTCGTCAACTCCTATACAGGAAATCGAAAGAATCAAGAAGGGAGAGACGAAACGAAACTTACTTTTTTATTTCTTTCCTTCTTTCATTCTTTTCTTATGATTTTTTTCTTCGACGAATAGACGAATAGAAAATTTTCCCTTTAAACGGAATAGTCATGGGAAACGGTCATGGCTCAACGTAGGAGATCGGATTGGACCGTTAAGCCGTTAAGCACTTGAGATAGTGTCGTTCTTTCTTGATCTTTGTCGTTCTTACTATCAGCCGACTGCATGATTCGGCCTGTAAACGAAGCATACATCGGTCATGGTCGCATACCGATCAATTTCGGCGAACTAATTTTGGCTTGCGATCATTCGATAGCGAATGCTGAACGTTGATTAAAAACGCAAAACACGCACGACTTTCTTTCTTTCGATATGAACTATCCAACGAGTACGAATCAAATTTGGTCAAACAATTTCGTTGATATCTGCTAAAGATCGATCGACATCGTAAGTTTTTGTCCGTGATCTTCTTAGATATTAATATTTATTCAAAAATCAAAAGGAACGTTGACGAACGATTCGCAATCGACTTTTCTTTTGGTTTTTTCGTTTTTTTTTACAAAACAAAACGAGAACTCACCGAAAGCAAGATAGGAGTAATTTTAATCGCAAGAACCGTCATTCTGAGGGCAAATCGTCCTTGCTTCGATTTTCGAGAGTGGTACGAGAGCGAACTCGGTGGACCGAAGGTTGGAGGAAAATCCTAATGGGAATTCTATTATACTTATCGCTCGAATGCTTGTGCTGACCATACTGCTCTCGGTTCGGAACTGTCTTCGAAAGGAAAGTTATTCGCATTACTACGTCCAGAAAGTTTCGCAACTGTCCCTTCCATATACTCTTCGCCGGAAATTCAAACCGAAAGACGTCCGATTGATCGTTGGACCAATAATACCGTCAATTTATAGCCTCGACACTTTGTCACAATGGTGCAAATCACGGAGGTGGATCGATTAATTCGATAAGATAAACGTTCCTAAAAGTCGACTTTTCGAATGAGGTCATGCGACGATCCGTCCTTTGTTTCGACGAAACGTTGTTTTCTCGTTCGCAAACTTTTGTCCGTCCGCGCATAACAGGTCGACGGAAGAAACTTTTGTCGACTTGCTCGCCAGTTGATCGATGCGAGAACCAAGTCAGATTTATCGAATCCACGCAACTTGATCTTTTCCGTTTCACGTTGCTCCGATCTTCCGTTGCCTGTATACGTGCATACATACGTGTATGTGTGTGTGTGCGTGTGTGTATATATATATATATATATATATATATATATATATAACTCTCGGAGAAGAGCCAAGACCCGGTCTTCCGCGAAATAAAAGGCTTGCTTAAAGAATCGAACGGCGAAAGCGCGGTAGTGCGAGGCGGAAGAGTGGAGATTAAGGAGAAGTGCCGAGTATCCCTTATCTTGTAACTGTGCCAAGCGAATGGTACTCGAATGGCGGACACGCAGGGAGCCAAGTTAAGAGATAAAAGATCCTCCCTACAATTTACAACTAATTTGAGATTCTTCAATCAGTAGTGTGATCTTGCATTCGTTTAGTTCGGTCGCTCGCTCGCTCGTTCGTACCGCGAAAGAATTTTTCCAATTGAATTTTCCAACCAACTTACGAGTCGTTCTTTTGTCGCGTGCCGTCGGTACGAAGGCCGATAAACCGATAAAACACAAAACCAAGCCAAACATTTTCTTCCCTCTTCCTTCTTCTTTCCCTTTTTCTCTTTTGAAAATCGTCGTAAGGCAAAATAACGGGTTCATAACGCGTCGAGCGTTATATTACGAAATTTCATTGAAAAGATAAAACCTATTAAAAGAATGGTTGAAAAATGAATACAACATTTTTTAATTGCTTCCAGTACGTTTACGAATACGTCATTATGCGTTCCCCTTTTATCTCATTGTTCCGAAAATTCTTGGAAAACATGTGCCCCTAGTCGAAAGAAAAATCATTGTGGCCGAAAAATAAATTAAAACGCAAACTCCATTTTACGTTTGCCTCGTGATAATACACTTAATCGATAAGAAAAAGCGTTAGAACTCGACGAACGCGATATGATTTTAAGAAGACGTTATAAAAAAAAAAGTTTCTACAGGAACGGGAACGTAGCTTCGTTAAATAATAACTATTCATCGCTGTTCGCCATTCAATCATAACACCAGCCATAGAAATGACGCGTTTACATGATAACAATAGAAACTCGATTACGGAACTTGAGAATTCGCGGCTTATTCGCCCATAGGAAGGTACGTTCTGTCCTCTGTTTGCTTGGACGTGCTGCTAGAATGCATAGTACATACTAGTATTATACATATTAGACGGGAACGAATATAGAATAAAAAGAGTAAAAAAAAATATTGCGAGTGTAAGCATTATGGATTATCGATTAGAAATTACTTTTAAAATACGACAACAGTTAATTTTGAAACGTTCCATCTGAAAAGGGTTCTATCTTTCGCGTTAATGATAATACATATGCATGACATACTGTACGTGTGTACTTTATCGTTGGATGACGAAATTCGATGTAGCTCGACGTGCGCCATGAAAGATACACACACGCTGTATATGCATATACATGGTGTATGCCGATCGAAAACATCCGCAAAGCCGTGCGTATTGGTCGTACGTGTATGCGTTGCATGCTTTAGAGCAGATTGCTCGCCCAAGTACTTACTTGCGTCAACGATGCAAGCGCGTGACCGTGTTGTATGCGTGACCAAACGCGAACACTCTCCTCTCCCTCTCTCTCTCTCTCTCTCTCTCTCTCTCTCTCTCAAGATTTTCATGAATAACGCATGAACCTTCCGACGGTAGCTGTCACGCGACGAGCAACGATGCCGGAGGATAGTTCAGCTTGAATGGACAACAGGCGAAATTCAACTTTCTCGTTTCTCTTAATTTCTCTTTCGGCCTTCGGGCCGAATATATGGGAATCTTTATCTCGATTATTTATCTATATAAATAATAGCCCGACCTTATCGTTGTCGTTATTTTTTCCAGAGTCGCGGTATATCGGACGGCGGAAGGATGTGAGAGGACTATATGGGTGAACACCAAACGGGCAGAGCAGATCCGTCGAAATCACGAACACGTGGCGAGACGTGAAGCGGGGTAAGCTAGTCATTTAGAAAGTCCATACGTTATACGACATTTTCGTTAATCCACTGGCTATATACCGATACGGATACGGGTTCAACGTGAGAGCCCAGAATAAAATCGAGCGACACGTTTTATTTACGATTACGTTATACGTTTTATTATTCCACCGGCGAATCGATCCCGCGCCTTCGTCTCAGGCGGGATAAAAGCTGACGATTGAATAATCGATCGGCAATTATTTTTCATTTCTTTTTACAACGAACGAATAGATATATATCTCTATGGTCACGCTCGAGCATGTCCAGGATAATTGACAATTGACGCAGGATGAAAATAAATGGATAAACTTACATATCGATATTCCCATACCTGGTGTATACTCGTGTACTCGTTATGGATGTAACGTTAGTGCATCGCGTTAGTTTCAATTCGGTGCCGGAAAGTTTGCCAAAGTATTACCTTTGTTATCGGGATCAGCTATTCGCTAGTTTTGCTTTACCACCAATTCCTATACGATAGAATCTGTTTCTGCTCTTACAAATATACAATCCCTTACGTAGTATTATAAAAGGTCCCTCCCCCCCTAACCATTTCTCATCGATAAAAATAGTGCCTAGACATAATCTCGGAAGGAGGCCATTTTTCAAAGATATCGACGGGATAGCTGACAACTATTTTTTTTACTTTTGCGCAACGATAGAAACTGCTTCGGCAAAAGTGGTCTCTTCGATCATATCGCTCGGACGTTTCCTTTGATCCGTAACCTTTCGAGCGCGAATCATTAAACGATCTATCAAACGGGTTATCCTTTCGAATTTGCCATAAACGTAGACAGGCGCGAAATTTCTCTGAAATCTTTTCGCGATACACGAGTATCTGTTTAATGGATATTTCTCCCTGTTTAATGGATATTCGGTAAGGTTCATTCGTCTTTCGCTTTTTCGAGAGAAAAAGGAAGAAAAGAAAAGAGAAAGAAGTTAAAAGAGATTAGCTGCGGAGGTTGTTGAAAAAGCAAGTGAAATCGATCTACCACCGTACAAAGGATCTAAAAGGTGGATATAGCATAGGGCGAGGATAGCCATTAGGGTTCCTTTGGCGAAGGGTGAATAGTGGTAGTATTCCCGTGTATCTAGTCGATAGCCGAGAGGAAAGTCTTCCTTTCTATTTCTCAAAGATAAAAGAAAAAGGGGAAAAAGGAAAGGAGACAGAGCTCGATCGAAAAGGTCGGGGGTGTAGATGCCGTTCTTTGCTCTTTCTAAGGCACAAGACCTTTGCGACCGCAGAGAAAATTGGTGTGCAACAAGGGTCGACCGCGAACCTACGAATCGTAAAAGCTTCTCTCAATTTTTTTTGATGGAAAAGAATTTGCGCATACGGCGCAAATATCCCAGATATATAAGCGTATGTACGAGTTTAGCTACGCAGGCGTGTCTGCTGCCTGCGAACGTGACGGTACGACGAAAGAAAAGAATGGAAAAAGAGGAAGAGAGGAATGGGAAAAAGTTGTTTCCTCAAGGATTTGCTCACGTGAGTTTGCAACAAAGAAACTTTAGATTTAAAACATTGTATCGTATCGCATCGCGATAAACGATATTAAAGCGCATACTTTTATAAATCGAAACGAACCTTTTCATCATCGTATCAATCGCGATTCGGACAGGAATCCTTTGATAATTGGACGTGGGTCTGTCGGAAGCGACGTTCAAAAGCCACCATCTAGTTCCTCAATGCAGAACCGTCGACGGCTACGTTCGAAAAATCTATCCGACTACGTCCTTCCACCCACCCCCTCTCCTGCCTGCGTGTGCGTGATAAAGCACAAGATGGATGGATAGGTAGAGGGATACCTAGAGGGAAATAGATGGAGGAGGAAAGGTACACTTACAACGTGTCGCGCACGCGAAAACAGGAAATATCACGCGACCTCCACCTACATCGAGGCTACATTATTATTACGTGTCTGAAACGTTCTCGGCACGGCTGTGGTCGTGAAAATTTAATTAAAACGCTTCTCGAGCGTACACACTTCATCCCAGCGCGTTGTTCTCTCGGTGCTTACGCGAGAGAAATGCGATGCACCGGTCGACGCAAAGAGAATGCCCGCGACAGGAGCCTTGGACTTGACTCGTAACCAGCCCCTACTTCGATACACATTTCCAAAGTGCTTTGGATAACGCGAAAGACAAAGTTGTTACCTATAGGTGTACCAACCTCTATAGGTTCATCGTCCGAAAACTCGACCGTTTCGAGGACTCGTTCGAGGACGGGTATTCGCTTAATCGAAACTTTCTTCTCCTAGTTGAAAACTAGCTTCTCATTGCTCTCCGAGCTTGTTACATGGCGAGTTAACTCGCCCTCGAGATAACATAAAATTCTGGAATTTCCAAGAGAAACCGACTGAGAGATTAATGGGAAATTTCTGTGAAACCGGGTGTCGGTGAAGGATAGTAATTTGAAGGGACTTACGCAATGTACGAGGATCGTATCCACGAGATAGATGCACAAGAATCGAAGAGAGCCGAAAGGAGGTTCTCATTTTTGTTCAATCTTTTATCAAACTTCTATAGACGGTGTTGCATGTAGGTCTAGGTTTACTAAGTCTAATTAATAACTCGATTCGAAGGATATCGGGTCGTCGTCGTTTAAGCTAGTAGAAATATTTCATCTCGATATCAATTTATGCGTCCCTATGTATTTTCGGAAAATCGCACAAAATTACATCGAGCGTTTTCAGAACGAATCTATAAAACTATTTCAAATATCGATTTCGCTTAAACACACTGTTCTTTTTACTCTCTCGTGCGAAAGTATGGGGGAAATGAAGCAAAGGATCGAAAGACGAATTATCTCGATTTCTTTGGGAGACAAAAAGTTTTCCAACTGATCTCGATCGCACGCCCAATTCCACCATCTATAAGCTTGGACCTTTCATAAATTTCCTTAGGTACTTGATATGCTAATCGAGTGTCTTTATTAATTATACCTACCAGAGGTAGGCCGAATTAATCGATTGAAAGGATTTATACGTTTATACGATATGTAACGTCCTTTTCTTTTCTTGTAGCGTTGAGCCTGCTGTGCATAAAGAAATTCTTCGGGAGTGCGACGATGTTGGAGGCTCCACCCGGAAGTCGCGAAGATCTCGTGGAAGCAGCGAGAACTCCATGTACGCCTACAGGTCGGTGTCATTAACTTTACAATCTTTTCCTTTACACAGGGAAAGATTAAAATTAAAATGCTAAAGAGCCGATCATCCAGCGCTATATAATTTTCACCACGCCAACCGCGTATAAGCTAAAGACAATGAATTTCTCTATCTCCCTTAAGTTATTAACGGACTCTTAATGCAAATCCTATCCTATTTTCTATTATCTAACCGGTAGAGTTGGTCATCTCTGGTCAAACGCGAGGCATTTTTCGATCCTTCGAAAGTGCCTGTCCCCGACGTTGTCCAATAAGCGCGAATGTTTCACTCTTTTCTAGGGATTTTTACATCCACAACGGATGGAGCTTCAAAGCTAAAGAAATTCAGAAAAGCGAATAGGAATAAAAGAGCAAAAAGAGAAAAGTGTAATTTGCCTTTCTGATTGGTCGTGTTTCAACGAAATAACCCACGGTAGCAAACGTCATCGGTGAGAAAGAACACTGTTATTTCATGGTACAACAGGTGCCATTATTCCACGCAGACATTTTCGAGATTCTTTCATTTCTCCTTTTCTTTTCCTCCCCTCTGGTTCCTCTTTCTCTCTTTCATTCGCAAGATCGAAAGATAAATTATTGAGCCGCGATCGATCGCCGCGTCATCTAAAATCACTCGAAAAAGTTTCGCTTTTATTCCGTCATATTTGATCAGCGGTGGAAAATAAGAGAATAAGGAGGAGAGCAGCGTTCTCCTTTCGTTCTTTGTTCAGCGATTGCGAATTCTTTATGGTTAATGCTTTATAGTATATCGTAATAGACGTGTGTGTGTGTGTGTGTGTGTGTATATATATATATATATATATATATATATATATATATATAAAAAAAATAGAAAGTTCTTACGAGGAGAAATGATCGTTCATCATGGACTCGATCTATATGCTGTAGCGTTGATTATAGCATTCTTCGCTGTCCAAAAAGCAAAACTGTATTCAATGCGGTAATAACGGCAATCGTCGCCCACCGCTTGCCACATATGTACATATGTATGTAAATATTGAAATTGCCGATAACCGATAGTAGATATCTACATACATATATATCGTAAACACGCTCCCATAGAAATCGCATTAATTTCTACTAATGATTTCGCATTGATAGGAGCTATTTTCTGTAACTGGTAATGACGTTCGTTTCACTTATCGACTTTATCGAGACGTACAATTGAAGCAATGCGTTTACGATGCTCTCTCTTTTTCTCTGCCTGGAGTGTATCAATGCGGCTCTCGAATCGTATCGACGCGAAAAGTTACGAACGTAAAAGACCATTTAATCGGATTAATCGAGAGAGAGAGAGAGGGATAATTAGCAGTAGCTTCTCAGGTATCTTTGATTCGACGATAACGAGACGAGACGAGTTTCGTTCTATGAGCAGTGAAGCTGCTCGCTTTTATGAAGACGAAGATCTTCTCGTCCGTTATTTAATTATCATCTTCTATTGCAAAAGGACATGCCGAAAGGGAAATTTTCGTTCTTCGATAATTAATCCGGACATTAATTAACGCAACGTCGAATGAAAATGGTATTCATTTTAATAACTGCACCGTATTACTTTAATGAACTTCACCATTATTTGTATCCACATTGAATTCCACAAGTAGAATTATTATACCCAAGAGAAAGATGGACGAGTAAAGAAAGAAAGAAAGAAAGAAAGAGGGAAAGTTTTAATATCATCTAATCAGTCTTGAAAATTATACGATTTTTATCGCTTCGATGTTTCGCTCGCTCGCCATCTGGTTTCTACTTGATATTAGCACGCACATCGAAAGAATACTTCTCTTTCTTCTTGCCATTTAATTGCGTTAATAAATTTTCATTGCACATCCGTCGATCTCAAATACGATAGCTTTTAAATTTTCTTATTACGCGCGACGTGAACGCCTAAAACGACCTACGAGTTCTCTCGTCGATCATTGGATAAAGCTTCCGTATTTTCTCGAGCGAACTTTGATCCCTCGGTCGGCTTTTATAACTCCATTAGCACTTTAATAACATAAAATTCGCAATTAACGAGCGAGAACGTTCATTTTGATTCCCTATATCGCAATGGTCGTGTCTCAAAATGTCGTTCCTCCTCGTCGATAACGCATAACATCCCCAACGACCTAGTCGATTCATTATAGAAGCGACGACGGATGTTTCGCTTCGGTCGCGTCTAAGTCTCAAAAATAAATCAGAAAGAGTCTGCCTCTTAACAATTTCGACTTTTTCTTCAATGTTCTACTTATATTCGTTCGTGTTCATCAGGCCGGTGCTTTATAAATTTTAACGAGTTTAGCTAATTACCAAAGTTTCCGGTTATAATGAGGGAAAGAGTGCGAGAGCGAGCGAGAGAAAGAAACGTCTGGATCTCGGTCTTGTTTCTTCGGTGGCTGGCCGACCGACCGACCGACCGACCGACCGACCGACCGACCGACCGACCGGTGGGCGAGGAAAACTTTTCGAATGCCTCAAGCTTCGACCTTCTACTCGCGAGCTCCTTATCGCTGCCCATTTCGAACGTTCGTTATTTACTTTTCTTCTTAAAATACCGCCAGCCATCCCGGAGCCATCGTAAGAAAAAGGCGGTGAAAAAGGTATAGCGTAGCTCGGCATCGAGTGCGGATCGATGACGGATTTTGATTTATGTCCCGAAAATGGAAATCTCGCGTTGGGACGGTCTTCGAGAGCTTCTCACCTTCTTCTATCCTATCCATTCATCTATCCATCCGCCTATATCCTTTTCTCGAGTGACGATAAAGTTATCCAATTTTGGACGTAGTTAGTTAGTTTATCTTCGATGAGTTTCGCGACTTCGAGTAAACGTTCCAATTTGTTTCGTGCAAACGTAGAGTCGAGCTCTGAAACGTCACTGGACCGACGGGCGAGTAGGACGAAAGGAAAGTCATTTGATTAAGATCTAGGATAATCTAGCGGGGATAGGAAGGAGAGAATCGATAGATTTACTTATACAGGGTCGTATTCGACTATTCGCTTAAAAAATATTTCGATTATTTTCGAGATAAAACGTTAATTTGATTATCCTATCTTCGAGTTTGTTCAGGTTGGTAGGAAATAAGTACGTAGCGTGTGGTTGGCCGTGGTCAAAGTACCGAGGCAGGAAGTGCCCCGAACCAAGAGGGCAAGTCCAATCAATAGCCCGTGATGAACGCTCGAATGGCTAGTGGCGCGGCACTGATGGCATATAGAGGATGAAGCGGCTCTATGAATTATTTAGCGCCAGCCAAGTGGCCCTCCGTGTATTTGCTCTCAATCTCGAATCGGTGGTTGGCTGGTCCCGGAACCTTCCGGTTTCAGGACCTTACTTGATTTCGTTCCTTATACGAGATTGGCCCTCGCACACCATCAAAGGCCAACCAACTTACTCGACTTGATCCGTTGCCTTCGGTCTGCTAGGCATTTTGGGTTCACGGTCCTTACTAGGTCACGGCCGTTCGTGAATCCCAGAGAAACTTGGGATTTCGTTCGATCGATAGTTATACCACGATAGCAAAAATATATCCTCGACTCTTCTCTATCTGGTATGGTTATGGAAGAGATATCGTTCCCTCCTCTCGCGGTCCATTTATCTCAAACGGCGAAATCTCAAGATCGGCCTCTACGATCGATTCGCGTAGACGTACTTCTATGCGTACTCGCATGCGTCGCGTATCGTCTCTTTATAAACTCCTTCCATTATTTTCTTCCAACGATCGCTACTACGTTCCTTCTCCTTCTCCTTATCTCGTAATATTTCTTGAAACGCAAAAAATAGGCGCATTGTTCAATCGGAAAGCTAATCATTTTATAACTAATCATTTATTGCTTCGCGATATCATCGTCGTTTTTTGCTTTAAAGGCGGACTATCCTTCGAACAAGCGAACGTCTACGAACGAAATAATTTGATGGAGAAAAGATAATAAGGACGATTCGGGCTTTCAAAGAGAAAAATATATGCGGAAAAATTTACCTAATCGCTCGATCCGCTTGATTCTAAGCACGAAAGCAGTTTAATCCTGTTTGATCCGTTTCTTCGGTAGGAAATAGATAGAATCTGCGATGGGAACGTAAAAGACGCTTACCTTCATTACGTTCCATTTCCCCTTGGCTCTTTTCATCTAATTTATTATAGTCCGTCGAAACCGGACGGAGAGAATCCGACTGTCGGTTATGCGACTTTGTATGCGTTCCCTAATGCGATATCGATTCTATTTCGCGTTTACCGGTCTACGGTTCGCCAGTGTGGAATTTGCATACGCGCGCCATCGTCTCACGCGTTACCGTATGCAGGATACACTCGATTATATCGCAATAGCGATAGAGAGAAGCCAAGGGCTACGGAGGATCGCTCTTTGGTATTTGCCCTTTGATCGCGGCAAAATTGCATTTTCGGTGCAATTCCTACGTGGATTTGTGAATTGCTCGCAGGAGATCTCACCTTCTTCTTTAGGGCCTACTCGGACCGTCCAAAGTATCTTTCGATACTTTCGAAATACTCCGAGATACCAATGGCGGCGAGGGGGGGGGGGGGGGACATCGAACAATCGTACGAAGGAACAAATGAAATAGATGATATCGAATAAATGAAAAATATCGGCTGACCTATCATTCGGTATATCGCACTTCTCTATGACAGAGAGAAGAGAGATTAATGCCGAATTCGAGGGTGGTCGAAACGTATCGCGTTACGCGTGACTTTGCCATCGGAATTAATCGGACACGATTTGCGAAGCCGATAGCGCGAGGATCGCGTGCGTTATAAGCATTAAATGGTACGATCGCGTTTACGGAATGCTCATTGAATATTTTGTAGCTATTGCGTATATATATATATATATATATACATACAGGTCCGATAACGCGTAGCTCATATTTCTCCCTTTAATTGGACT